CCTGAGTGTATATACTTAAAAAGAATTCCTATTAATTCACAAGAACCTGCTTTCAAATAAGTGAGGCTAGACTTCAGAAAGGAAAATGACCTTAAGAAAAACACCCACACACAAGTTCTTATTTTACCCTGCCCTATTCCTCTCTATTGGACGTGGGTGGCGCTGTGGTCGGCGGTTCGAATCCCCACAATGGGGTGAGCTTCCGTTGCTCGGTCCCAGCTCCTGCCAACCTAGCAGTTTGAAAGCACGTCAAAGTGCAAGTGGATAAATAGGTACCGCTCAGGCGGGAAGGTAAACGGTGCTGCTCTGGTTTTGTCAGAAGCAGCTTAGTCATGCTGGCCACATGACCCGGAAAAACTGTCTGCAGACAAACGTCGGCTCCCTCGGCGAGTAAAGCAAGATGAGCGCCGCAAGCCCAGAGTCGTTTGCGACTGGACTTAACTGTCAGGGGTCCTTTACCTTTTTATTCCTTTCTAATCAGCAGTACCATCTTACTACCCAGTGAGAAACATATAAGGACCAGATTTCCAATTAATGGAATGGGAAGGTCAAATTATACATACTGCACTACACACTAGCAAACTTGCACAAATATAAATCGACACATTGTTTGTAACCCTACATATCTATTTCAGACAGCATTCAAGGGCAGTCTACAGAGAGGAAGGGTCATGCAGGGAAGATGACACACCATCCCAATCTTTTTTTTAAAGTGCACCTAGCCCTTGGTAACGTAATAATCCTAATCCCATTCTTCGTCCCTGCCCAGAGAATTTAAATCAGGACAACATTAATGCCATTCCAATAACCAAAGAGACTTCAGGAAGTAAAATAATGGCTCTACCCTACGTGGGACCTAACTTCATCATGGCCAGTGGGGGTTTATTCCAAAGAAAATCTGCAAAGGACTGCAGGCTTCAATTCCCGAAGTTCAAAAGGCCGTCTCTGCATCTATTCGGGATGAAATGGCAAAAACATTGGTGGAGGAGTGGATGGGAGAGATAGAAACACCAGCAGGGTGCATTTTAACACAGCCCAGTGATATAATTACTACAGCAGGGCCGCCGACGCAAATAAATATAGTCACCCAGTATGCGGAGCCGGCCAGAAATAGAGGTGCTCTTGAGGAATAGCGGTGCATGACGCTAGACACCAAGATACAGGGCTGTGTTGAAATGCACCCTGTTGGTTTCTATCCGTCTCTCCCATCCACCCCTCCACCCCCCAAACACACACACACACACACACACACACAGACAATCTCCCTCTAAAGGCGCCCCTGCATAGCCCCATGGAAGAGAGGGAGGGGGGAACCACACATTCAGGTTTGCACACTTTCTGCCAGGGGTGCCAACTTGAATAAAACATGGGGGGGGGGCAGGTAAGCCCCGCCCCGCATAATCGATGACATTACGCAGTGCACGCACACCCTTGGAATGGCAATGCCCCTAAACATGGGGGGAAACCCCTCAAATATTTTATTGTTTGGGGGGAGGGCACAAATTGCCTCCCGGCCCCTAGGAGTTGGCTCCTATGTTTTCTTGCTCAGCTATGACTGCGAGGAAGGGGGTTCCCGACGACGGGCCAAGGCTATGCGGGGAGGTCGACCACCACATTTCCACTTCCTAATAATAATAATAATAATAATGATGATGATGATGAAACACAAAACATGAAAGTGGGAGGGAAGGCGTGAAGGGCCTGCGCAGGAAGCGGCGCCGGGCCAAATACCTGCGGCGGCGCCGGCCCCCGGGGGCGCCGTCTTGGGCGGCCGGAGGGGTTCCTGGTGGTGCGCGAAGCCCTGCTTGAGGAGCTGCGGCGGAGCCCCGAAGCCTCTTCCGCCGCCGCTGCTACCGCTGCTGGTGCCGCCTCCTCCTCCTCCTCCTCCTCCGCTCATCCCCAAGCGGGCGCCGCTCTCCGGAGCCGTAGGAGCCCCACCCCCTCGGCCTCGACCCGCACCGGGAGCCCGGTCGAAGCCGTTGTCGGACATGTCGGCCTCCTCAGGCCCGCCTCTTCCTCATGAGGGAAACCACCCGAGTCCTCCTCGGCCAGCAAGCGGCCGGCGCCCGCCCCGACACCCGCTTCCTCCCCTTGCTCCGAAGCCGCTTCACTTTCGGTTCCTCCTCCTCCTCCTGCTGCCGCCGCTCGCTCTTCCTCGTCAGGCGGAGCGGGGTGGGGGTGAAATCCCCACACACCGCCAGCCACCAAAGACGAACGAGACACACACACGCCCCCCTCTCGCGCTCAGTCAGGGACGCTTGTTGCGTTCCCCCGGTTTGGCTCACAGCGCCTCGCAGCGCCCCGGAGGCCTCCCCTCGTTCCCGCGTCGCCATGGCAACGCGCGGGGCCTAACGGGACCCCACTTGTGGAGAAACAGGGAGAGCCTCCAGGGCCCCTAAATCGCCTTCCTATTGCGGTGGCATAAAGCTGTTGTGGGGTGCAGTCCGCCCCTGTCAAATGAACGAAGTGTTGTTAACTCCCAGACAGGCTTCCACCCCAGAGAGAGAAATCTGCTTATGTGCTTTGCTAGTGGATATAAAGACAGGAACCTTATTGGGGATATGTCCGTCCCGTCCCCCCGTCCCCCGCTAGATGTTGGACTACAACGCCCATAATGCATAAGCATTGGCCATGCTGGTTAAGGCTGATGGGAGTTGTAGTTCAATATCTGGGGAAAGCTCACACCCTAGGTTTCCCATCCTTGATTTGGGCCTTCTCTCTCACGTACACATAAGTGTGCTCTCGCTCACACTAATAATAATAATAATAATAATAATAATAATAATAATAATAATAATAATAATATCTTTATTGTCATTGCCCCCTCTCGGGGACAACGAAATTACTTGGCTGCTCCATCCACCCAGGTAGGGCACTCCACACAAAATCAAAACAACTATAAAAACACTAATTAAAACAATACAGTATAATACAGCAATTCAGTGCAGAATGAAAATAATCCCTTCAAGTGGCCATATTTAATTGACTATACACTGTACCTAGCTAAACAAAGCCACTCTTTTTTATTTTTTGTATTCTCATTTTTTTTATACAGCATAGACACAAGCACATACCAAATGCAGTAATAGGCTTGCCATATGTCAGGAAAATTCCTGACATGTTCTGGTTTTCAGGTGTAGAAATGGGGGGGGGGTATGCCAAACTGGCAAAAGGTCAGGGAAAACCTGGATGTACAGCAACGTGATGGAAAAAGCAGCGGAAACAGCTCCAAAAGCTAAAAAATAAATAAAAATAAATCACTATTTTACTTTTTGAAATATGACAACCCTATGCAGTAAGAATGATGAGTGCACCATGCTTTTCCCCCCAGCCAGAATTCACTGGAACTCAGTTGTTGCACCTCTCAGGTGGGCACCATTGCTATTCTAAGAGAATGATAGAGGTGTTCATGGTGAGTTCCGGCACCCTTTTTTCTAGAAAAATAGCACTGCTCTTAACTATGCAAAAGGAAATGACACCACCTTGGGACTGAATCCCACTTGGTTCAATGGGGCCTACTCCCTGAAAAGCATGCACAGGATTGCAGCCAGTCAGCACGATTGTATTAGTATTATGTTCCCTTATGTCAAGTCACACTATGCTAAATGGGGCTTTGTCTCAGAAAGTGTCCACAGGACTGCACTCCCTGTCATCTTGTAGGAAGCATTTACATGTACTATGGTTTGAGAATGGTGTCAACATGTATTCATATTGCAAAAATCAAGACTGGCTGATAGACAACTTGTGTAGGGTCACAGGCTTACAATCTAAAATACATGCCACAAAAAGTGAGAAGGGAGGATGAAAAGAAACAAGCCTAGGTACCAGTTCTTAAAGTTTCAAAGTTCTCATATAAAAATAATTAGGAAGAGAAGGCTTCATTCCAATGCATGCTTGTTTGGAATGATGACCCCCTGGCATTGACAAGACTCATTAGCAAGAATGTATGCTTAGAAAATGTGGCAACTTGGGATTGCTTGCTCATCTGGCACAAACAGGAGTTTCAACAGTAGCCCTTGGCTCACCCTTTCAGAGCTGGCCATTATAAGATTCCAGAATAAGAAGACATTCTTTAAAAAAGCAGCATAAGGGAGGTCCAAACTCTTCAAGTATTTTATTAATCACTGTAATTTATGAATGCTGGAACTAGCTTGGTAACTTCACATTTTTATTTCTCAAATGTATTTTTCTGCACTGAAGCTATGTTCTGGGGTAAACTATGGAAGCAATTAGGCCACTGCTTCCAGATGAGTTTTGTGCAGATTAGCAACTGGTTAAAGAGTAGGAAACTGGTTAAAGAGTAGCAATAATGATTTGACAATTGCCAGAACACAGCGATCTAAGAAATTGCTTTCCCAGAGGATCTGTATTGGGACTGGTGCTTTTTTATTTTTATTTCCTTAATGATAAAGATTCTTTTGGCAAGTGCCCCCCCCCGCCAACTTGAATAAAATATAGCGGGGAGAGGTATATTTTATTCAAGTGGGGGGGTATAGGTAAGCCCCCAACCCACATAATCGATCACAAGACACGGCTCACGCACCCTATTAGAATGGCAATGCCCACCAACTTTTGGGGGGAGTCTAGTCCCCTCAAATATTTTATTGGGGCGTTGAAGGGACTCAACCCCTAGGAGCTGGCTCCTATGGAGCCTGCAGGAGTTGCCAGAAGGAGGAGTACAACACAAGGCGCCATCCAACTATCTTAGGGTCCCCACTGGGGAGGATTTTTGCGTCGGGTTTACTCCTCGGCCTTTCCGTCTCCCCAAGGTGTCCTGCTGCAGGAAACGACAAGCCGGCGGCGCAGTTCAACCCTCAATTGAAAGCAAGCCCCTCTCCGCGCGCTGCAAAAATAAAATGAAATAAGCCCCAGGGGCGCGCGCGCCCATGCGCACTCCGGGAGCGGCGTGACGCGTCGGCGAGAGACCCTCTGCCGCCCCCTCTCTTTCGCAAGAGGTGAGCGCGGCTCCCCGCCACGTGACCTCGCCTCTGCCCAGACAGGGTCTCTCTCTTCTCTTCTCCGCTCCCATCCCCTTCCAGTTTCTGGGCTGCGGGCGGCTCGAGCCCCGCCCACTTGGCTGGGGCCTCGCGCCGGCTCTGCTGCTCTCCGCTCGGCTTCCCGTCTCGCGCCGGCGGCTCCGGCGAGCCGGGAAGGTCAAGCGCAATATTGCATAGATTTGCAAGAAAAGAGAGAAGCGGGGCGGGAGCGGGCAGCAGGGCGCAAAGGGCGGGAGGTAGGTAGCGAGCTGTTGTCTCCTCTTCTTCCTCCGCTCGGCTCTTCTTCCTCCTTTCTTCTCGGCGCGCCCTAGGGCTTGCTCGGTGTCTCTGGGTTTTTTGGGGGGGGGCGGGCGGTGTCGGTTCATTCACGGCCGTCGCTCGCCGCGATTGCTTTTGGGGCGGAGGCTGAGGCTTGGAAACACTTTCTCCCCCCTGCTCTCCCCTGCCCCCGATCGCATCTCCCGCGCGGCTTGCTTGTTGTGCCACGCTTTTATGCGCTTCTGGCATCTGCCCTCCTCGTCATCCATCGCGGTTGGGGGAGAAAGAAAAGCGGGGACTGCGAGGAGGTGAGGATGACTGATACTGTATATATTGATGTGCTTTAAAATGAAATGAGAGCAGGCTGCCCCGCAAAGGGTTAAACCCGCCGCTTTCCCTCCACGCACAAAGCGCAACTTTGGCAACGAGGAGTAGCAGAACTGTTGCTATTCTAGGCCCGCTGAAGTTAAGGAGAAAAGAGGGAGGCGAGGGGGATGAAAGCAGCAGCAGCTGCTTCCCATTTTGCCCCTTATGGTTAAGAGTGGCACAGACAGGAGCAGAAAAAGGCTGTTTTTTTGGGGGTGGGCTGGCTGCTACTCGCGAGGAGGCGCCTCTGGGTCCAAGTTTCAATGGGTTTAGCACAGGAGGGAAGGTCACCTTTGGTACCTTACTCACCCCAAAAAACCCCAAACCATTGAGTGAGCAATCTGTTGGTTTGACTCTGACATGCCATCCCTGGCCTGTTTGTCCTGCAACAAAACGATTGAGAAAGAACATGCAGGTAAGGCATGTAGAAACCACATGCCTCCGAAGTGAAGGGAAGCTTTTTCTTTTGGGCTGGGGAAAGAGATTTAAAAGGAATGTGCTTTTTTGGCATCTTCCAGCTTAGCCAAAGCGTCCTTATTGTTATGCAGCAAAAATAAGTTGGTATAAAGGCGTGTGCATGCGGGCCTCTGAGAGCTTTTCTCCCTTTCTTTTTCTAACTGTCAGAAGGGAACCGCAACAGTTGCCAAAGTCAACATCGTGGTTTGCCAGTTACGTGGAGGTCAAATGTAAGGTGGGAATGGAGGACGTGACCTTGTTTGAGCCTTGAAATGGGCACCGTTTGGGATTTGAGGAAGCTCCTTTCATATAAAAGACAGGAGAGAGGCTGTGCAGCGTGTGAGGGGGAAGGATCTGGGAAGAAGTGGTTTAATTATGGTTGCTTTCACGTGACTTCAGAAGCCACAAGTCTCTTCTTGGGAGTCATGCCTTATCTTTTAAGATGTGAGAGCCAGGGCCGGAGGGCAATGCTTCATTATACTCCCCTTTTTAAAAATTAAAACTCTGTTCTGGGACCTGCTTCAAAGGTACGCCTGCACATTTAGGTTACCATATCTTTGAAACTGGATTGCCCTTTTAAGGCAAGGGTGGCTAACCTGTGGCCTTTCAGATGTTGTCAGAATATGGCTCCCATCATCCCTGCCTGTTGGACAGGTTAGCTGGGCCTGATGGGAGCCAGATATCAGCAACCTCTGGAGGGCTGCAGGTCATCTACCTCTACTACTGAATGTCCTGTGTGAGTGTCTGGAGGCGGTTGGAGGATGGATGGCAGCTAACAGATTGAGGTTGAATCCTGACGAGACAGAAGTACGGTACTGTTTTGGGGGGACAGGAGACGGGCAGGTGTGGAGGATTCCCTGGTCCTGAATGGGGTAACTGTGCTCCTGAAGGACCAGGTGCGCAGCCTGGGAGTCATTTTGGACTCACAGCTGGCCATGGAGGCGCAGGTCAAATCTGTGTCTAGGGCAGCTGTTTACCAGCTCCATCTGGTATGTAGGCTGAGACCCTATCTGCCTGCGGACTGCCTCGCTAGAGTGGTGCATGCTCTGGTTATCTCCCACTTGGACTACTGCAATGCACTCAATGTGGGGCTACCTTTGAAGGTGACCCGGAAACTACAACTAATCCAGAACGCGGCAGCCAGACTGGTGACTGGGAGCGGCCACCGAGACCATATAACACAGGTCTTGAAAGACCTACATTGGCTCCCAGTACGTTTCCAAGCACAATTCAGAGCGTTGGTGTTGACCTTTGAAGTCCTAAACGGCCTCGGTCCAGTATACCTGAAGGAGCATCTCCACCCCCATCATTCTACCTGGACACTGAGGTCCACCGCTGAGGGCCTTCTGGCGGTTCCCTCACTGCGAGAAGCCAAGTTACAGGGAACCAGGCAGAGGGCCTTCTCGGTAGTGGCACCCTCCCTGTGGAACGCCCTCCCACCAGATGTCAAAGAGAACAACAACTACCAGACTTTTAGAAGACATCTGAAGGCAGCCCTGTTTAGGGAAGCTTTTAATGTTTGATGTATTACAGTATTTTAATATTTTGTTGGAAGCCGCCCATCTGGCTGGGGAAGCCCAGCCAGATGGGCGGGGTATAAATAATAAATTATTATTATTATTATTATTATTATTATTATTATTATTACTACTACTACTACTACTACTACTACTAGCGGAGGTGTGACTCTCTCAAGTCTCTGGCAGTACTGTTGACCTGCAGGTCTCACATCCATATTTATCTAGAAGTAGGCCTCGTTGAGTGTGTTAGGTAATGGGAGGCAATGCACTCTGCCTTGTCTTGCTGTGGCCTTCCAGGCATAGTTCTAGAAACTAACTGAGTCAAACACACTTCAGAGTTTATCATTTTGCCATTGTGTACTTCAATAAAACATGAAAGGAAGGAGCACACGCCAGGGAATTGCAGTTGGCCTGCGGCACTCTGGCACTTTCCCAAGGACTTCTTCCCAGACATTTGGATATGCAAATTACCAGCATTGCGCATTGGACCTTATAGATTGTCTCCTTCCCCATTTCATATTTGTCAAGCTGCTGCTCTCCAGTTGTTTTGGGCTGCAATTCCCCAGCAACCTCAGCTAGCACATGGTGACTGGGGCTGGTGAAAGTTCTAGTCCAAACATCTGGAAGGCAACAGGTTGGCAAATCCTGTCTTGCTTTGATCTGCAGAAATGGTTAAGAGCCCCGTTTGAAGATGCCAGCTATTTGCCTGGAGTGTATAGCAAGGGCATGGATAAGGGAGAAAATAGTTTCTCTTCTACAACCATAAAACTCAATTCTTCTGAATAGTAGGATATTTCCACAAAAATGCCACGAGACCTTATTTTTTGAGTTTGAGGTCCCATATTCAAGGTGATGGTGGGCAGTGGGGTTTTGGCTGTGGTGCATGTGATTGTGCTGCTAATATTACTTTATATTAAATAAATTATCCAGTTATAATTTGAGTCAGTGTGTTTTAGTTACAGACCCTAGATTCTCAGGAGCACATGGTCATGTATTCAAAACCAGAAAACCGGAATACTTTACAGATGTGAGATGAGACGATGCATGCATTGATGCCATGTGTATTTGAAAAACACAGAAGCATTTTTTAATTCTTAATTTTTTGCAGGGTAGGATTTGTTTACCCAGCTATCTTTTTTCCAGTACTCCTCTTGGAAATTAGTCCTTTTTGTCCTTGGTAAACTAAATTGCTGATTAGCACTGTTGAAGGATTGTTGAAGTTAGTAATGGAAATTGTAGGGGGACCCTCCCCCCCATTTCTATAACAGCATATTAGACCTGAGAAATAAAGGCAAAATAAATAAAAATCTAAAGCTGTGACATAGTTGAATACTGTACATATTTAAAAATAAATAAATAAATAAACTGTCAGGGTTATCTATAAAGCACAGTTCTGACCTACAGTTTCAGGCACCAGTGAATTAAGACTTGTGGTTAACTTTCATGCCTGGGTAGATGATTGGACGCTGACAGCAGGCTGCATAAATTAAAAAGGCCGTGACTCTGAGAAGGCTTTCACAAGTCCTTCCCTCAATGAATGAACTTGACTCCTCTCAGAGACTGATAAGGAGTTGTATCCAATCATGTGCCTCTGGTGCAAATTATACACTGCATTGCTTCCAGAGAGCAGCCAATTGGAACTTGTTAATGAATGGGGATTCCAGCTTCGTGCATTTCCTGCAGACGTGGTAAATGCCTGGGTAGTAGTGGAGGCATTATTAATGTGGGCTATTCATTTAAGGGGGTCACTTTTATCTGACAGCTGTTCGCTTCCTTTGGCAAAGGGCTAACTGTACTTCTCTTGGAGTGAGTATATTTCTTACGCATTTTGAATATCTTGGGTACGTGGCATCTATTCTCACAGTGTTCCTGTGTTTTCTATTTGTGGCATTTGCTTCGTAACTACGCTTGTTGGAAACTTTTTAAACTGGTACATCAAGCTGAGGAAGTAAGAGTTTTTCTTGAAATACTATAACTGTGTGCTTATTGGGCAGCTGTATAGTGGGTATCAATTTTCAATGTCTTTTGTTTCTTTTTCCAAGAGAGTAGCAAAAATGTTGCCTACACTTTAACTTGATCTATGAATGGAGAGCGACTGTGTGCTTTGTTTCTTCAGTGCTGAAATAAACTTTTTCAGTTAAAAGCTGTTAAACAGCATTTTTGTATATATACCTCTGCACGCTTTTTGTTACATGGTGTAGTTGTTGACTTATTAATCCTCCCTTAAAGTAGATTTTTTACTAGATCAATTTATGTTGGAATGATATGCAGACTTTCAAGTTGCATGAACTCTTCAGACTGAGTGCCCCAAAGTGCTGCTGCTATTTTCAGTCTTTTACATGTTGTTATGGTTGCACTAAAAATAGACTTCCAGCAGAAAAAAAGAGAATTAATTCCTGGGCTACGGATTATTGGCTGTCACCAGCATTATGAAATGCCTGATATCTGCTGGTACGTAACCTCACTTCAGCACGCTGTGTAGACGAGCAAATCTATTCTGTAGGTTATCTCCTGTATATAATTTGGGCTTCTTACAGCTTGCCATCCTTTGTAGTCTTCATCCTTGAAAACAATACACTTAGTCTTACCGGCTTTGTTTTGCATGCAGAACGTCATAAAACATACGTAGATAGATTTAACCAGCTTGCCGGTAATGACGCCCGGATCCTAGTGACAACAATAGTAAAACCCTCATTAATTTTCAAGGCTGTTGGATTGTACCCAGTACTGTTTTTTTGAAGTATAATCACTGGTGATAGTAATGATACCCTTGAAAAGCTTACAGTTAGTATTGTTGTGATTGTGACATAATTTTATTGTTCAGCTTATTTTTGCATTTGAGATTCTGCTACATGAAGGCTCAAGGTACTGTAACTTAAACGTGAAGACTATAGTCTTGGAACTAACATAGAAACACGGGAAGCTTCCATTCACCTGGGGTGTAGCGTGGAGGATGCCAGCAGGGCCCTGGCCCTGGGCATAGATTTTTGAGGGGGTGCAAAGCAGGGGCCCCAGTGTGGCCTGGCCCGGCACTCCTCTCCCAGTGTCGGAGGAACCTATGGAGGAACTTATGGATAAGAGTACTGAACCAGGTCATGCTGGAGGTGCCAGCACCTGGTTCGCACCCACCAAGTGCCCTGTTGGTTGGCCGGGCTCCCCCTGTGCAGGTTGGCAGGCGGTGTAGCATGGCCCTGCATGGCTCTAATACGGGGCACTCCAGCAGTGTCTGTGGCGAGGGCTGGAGTGCTGCGTTGGGATCCTTCACCCTCTGCACTGTGTGCCCTGCCCTCGGTGCATGCATGCACCTGCCCCAGGCTCCGGGAGCTCACGCTACATGGCTGCATGCACAGAGTCATTCCAGCTTGGTATTGCATGCATCAGGGGTAGCCAGTGTGATCGCCACCAGTGCTGTTGGACCGGATCATTTTGCCAATCGGCCATGCTGACCGGGACTGATAGGCATCAGTGTTCAACCGCACCATGTTGGTTATTCCAGCCCTATATTGCCTGCAGTGGCTCTCTGGGATTTTAGACAAGTGTGTTTCCCCTGCCCTATCTGGAGATGGCAGGGATCAAATCTTGGACCTTCCACATGTGAAGCCTGTTCTCTGTCCCTGAGCTACGGTCATTGTATTGAAATAAGTAGTTATGTCTAGGCTGGAAGAGAGATAATTATTGCATCTGTATGAAATGAAATCTGTGTATTATACTTTGTTTAAATTACAGTGGTACCTCGGGTTAAGTACCTAATTCGTTCCGGAGGTCCGTTCTTAACCTGAAACTGTTCTTAACCTGAAGCACCACTTTAGCTAATGGGGCCTCCTGCTGCTGCTGCGCCCCCGGAGTCCGATTTCTGTACTTATCCTGAAGCAAAGTTCTTAACCTGAAGCACTATTTCTGGGTTAGCGGACTGTGTAACCTGAAGCGTATGTAACCTGAAGCATATGTAACCCGAGGTACCACTGCATTAAGATGCTGAAGGTATTAAAACACTGTGAGATGGTACCAACATTGGATACAACACAGAGAAAGAATTGTGGACCTTGTTAGCCTCCCCTCCCCAAGTCCTGATGGCTGCAAATCGCGATCTGAAGTGACACATGTTTTGAATAGACTGCTTTGCAAGTCTCCGCTGCTATTATTGGCTAAAGGGCTAATGCTTTTGTATATGGCAGGGCATCTGTGTGGCTTCCTAACGGGGTGATCCTGCCTGCCGAATCTTGGACAACATGGCCAGTTTTATTCTGCGTACAGTTTCGACCAGCTGCTCCAGTCCCCTTTTCAACAGTGCGCTGTCTCACAAGGCGAAGACTGTGAAGACACCATGCCTACGAGCCTTCCGCCTGCACCGGGTGCTCTGGTGCCAGGCTCCTGTCAAACCAGGTATGTGAGTTCAGATAGGCATTCATGATTTCAAACTAACAGGTGTGATTCTTGACACCTGTAGAAGCCAGTTCCCAACTTTCCATCCCCTCTTCCAACATTCTGTCACCCTCCTAATGTAATCCATAAAAGGAACCTGGAATGGTTTACCAGGGGCAGGCAGCAAGTTAAGTTTCGATTTTAATGTTGATTCTATTCCTCTTTCTCCCATTATAAGTGAATGGTTGCTAAGCTCCCTTTCAGGGTAAAAAGAAAGGTCTAAGCTCCTGGGTTAATTTGTGAGGGCAAAGCCTTCCCTCCACATTCAAACTAGGTCGCCCAGCCTTCGCTGACAAGAGATCCTGCAGGAGGTCAAAACGCACCCCCAGGGTTTGTGTAAGGTTATCGCTCCTTCTGTATGCTCCCTGCCCATTATAATGATTAGTAATTTGCTGGTGAAGATGTGTTATATTTGGAAGGGACACAATTGTGCCCTGGAAACGTGCGTATGTTAAGTTTGCCTACAAACCTGCCAAGGGCAAGGAAACTCCATGATGAAGTGCAAGATAATACTTCCGCAGCTAGCAAATATTTGTGGAACTCAGCTAATTAAATATATCAATATATCTAGATACTTTTTGTCTTCAGGTTAAAGCTTAATCTGCAGTGGTTGCTTTCACAAAACATATTCTGTGAGACTCTTCTCCCCCCCCCCCTTGCTGGACCATACATATTTGGTGAAGCTTGGGAATTTGTTAACCAACCCTCTTACTTCCCCAAACCCTTCCCTATTACAGTTTTACCTTGGTAGTTGAACGGCTTGGCTCCTGAACAAATTGGCTCCCAAACGCTGCAAATCCGGAAGTGATTGTTCCGGTTTGTGAACGTTTTTCAGAAGCTAAATGTCCGACGCGGCTTCTGATTGAGTACAGGAAGCTCGTGCAGCCAATCAGAAGCCGTGCCTTGGTTTTTGTACCATTTCGAGAGTCGAACGGACTCCCAGAACAGATTAAATTCAAGAACCAAGGTACCACTGTACTTCTTGTCAGTCTCTGTCTTCTTTCCCCACTCCTCTTTTGTCCTAATTAGTGGGGTAGGAGAGCTGAAAATAATGCCAATATATTTAACATCTGGCAACCAGTGCATCCTTTTGGATGCAAAGATAGTACATGGGTAGATGAGTCTAGAAATCCTGGGTCACAATTATTCACGGCTTTGGTGGCTCATTTACCAGAAGTAATGTATTTATCATTAACTCTGGAAGTGTATACTCGATTCTGACCAAACTAAGCCTCCCAATGTCTATTTTGTCACCTGACATCTCATCTGGTTTTTAATCATATACTTCTTGGATGGGCAAATTCTAATTCACAGAGCAGTGCAAGTAATCAAGAATGGATGAGAATAGAGCATCAGAAGGTGATTATGGAATTTTAGCAAAGCATGAAATCCACTTTTCATGCTCAGTCCAAAATTCTGTAGGTAAAACAGTAGTTTGTATCATAGAAGGGTTCTTGCTCTGTAGAAGGAAGTTCAGCTTTCATTGAAGAGTGTTGACTATCTAAGGTCTGGGCAAAAATGGAATGGTTTTTCTCCTATTAAGTCACTGAAAGGCATGTTTACACTTGTGCCTCTTATGTTTACAGACAGTCTTTCATGTAGCTTGGCACACAGGCAGAGGCAGAGCGGTGGCTCTGCATGACTAAGAGTAGCTAAAAAACGTCTTTAAGGAATAAACTGAAACTGAAAATGGATGTCATGTTAATGTTTTGAGTTGCTCTTTTGCTTCCTTTGTGTGTGTGTGTGTGTGGGGGGGATATTCTGCAGTTCACTGGTGTAGCAAGCACTTTTAGTCTGACTTTGGCAGTAGCTATTATGCAATGCTATTATGAAGTGAGTGCCAATGGAAACAGCCTACCTTGCTTTTTGAATGGACCACTCTCTGCTCAGCCATTAAATAGGGCATGTTTGCATATCATGCTAAACCACAGTTTAGGACAAAGAACAGGAGCTGTCACAAGACCCAGGCTCACACACTTTCCTCTCCTTCCGTAAGGCCAGGAGCAGGACTTTGGTAGCCCTTAGCTTCATATTCCCAAAATCTTTGCTTATCATTGTCTAGATCAGGGATCTTTCATTTTTCTTAAAAAACAAAACAAAATGCAAAACCTAATCAGTTTCAGAACTAGCTAATTTCAAACTGGAACTTCTGTAGCTGGCTTGGCCAAGTGTTATAAACCAGAATCCGTGGTCAGAATGACAAGAGATTATAGGAAATAGAAGCTAAAACTCTGCTGGCATCCACCTAGCCATGTGAAAAGAGGAGAGGGGAACACAGGGCATGCAAACTCAAACCTCCCAGTTTAAATTTCTTTGCTCCAATTCTGGTTTAGTGTGACCTGCAAGTGTTTCCCCCCAGTATTAGATTAAGATCAGTTGAACTCATTTTTAAGATGATTAACATGTTAGCCTCTTCATTGGAGGGTACATGGAACTTTCTGTTAACTTTACTACTTCTTTTGCTGGTCAGAACAAAGTAACAGGGTGCTTTTTACATAGCAATCAAGGTGAGTGGTGGTTGTGATTATCCTAGGAATTTGCTTAACCTTGTTGCCATCCCATCCTGTGTCTGATTGCCAGCTGCAGGTGGATCCTACCATTCATATCCTTCCTTCGCTCCTTTCCTGTATTTCATACCTGCTCCCAGCCTCCACAGTTTCTTAATGCAGTACAGTACATATAGTATGGGACTTGAAGCTGGGTGACCTTAGTTCACTTCCCTGCTTGGCTATGGATTTAGCTGAGTGTAACGGAGCCAGTTGGCGCCTCATGGTCTTATTTATTGGTTTATGCCACCTTTTAAAGCAGGGCTGAGGGACCTTTGGTCCACCCAATGTTGCTGAGCCGCAACTGCCACCCACCTTAGCCAGCAAGGCCAATAGTCAAGGATGATGGGTGTTGTAGTCCAACATCGTCTGGAAGGTCAAAGGTTCCCACCTCTGGTTTAAAAGGTTAACACCATTTTCAATGTGATTTACAGAACAAAACCCGAAACTATTTATATTTTCACACATGCAATGTTAAAATAACTACATTGCAAAGCAAAATCATCAGCAACAGCCAAAGCCGTAACTTTAAAATATTTCACCAGCAACAGTTTAAAGCTGATCCAGGTCTCTTAAGGCTTGTTTTTTAAGCCTTTTTAAAGGAGGGACCTCAGGAAATGCATTGCAGAGGGATGGGTCCACAATAGACAAGTTCCTACCTTAAATAGGATAAAATGAGATTATTATTTTTTGGCACACTGCTCTGAGTTCCTTAGAGGGTAGGATATAAATGTAGTAGTAGAAGAAGCCATTGGGTTGCCTTTTTCCAGCTAGCATAACTGATGGTGAGTGATTGGTGCAGTACTTCCTTGGTCTGCAGTGGTACAGGCAGTCAGTGCTGGGCTTATCATGTGAGGTGTGAAGGATGCCCAACTGAAAGCAACTGATTTGCTGCCTTTCCAGTTTCACTGGATGATGTCAATGTAGGTGTGCAATTTTACTGAGTCAATGTAAACAGAAACGTCTTGGTCTGCTTCCTCCACGCTATTCATTGTATCTTTTTTTTCTGTCTTCATTCCACCTCACTCCCTTCAGGCTGTCTCCTTGTCTTCCTGCAGAGCTCTGAAAAAAAGGTGAGCAGCTTCTTTGGAAGCTGTTGGCAGTGGCGTAGCGTGGGTTGTCAGCACCCGGGGCAAGGCGCCCCCTAACCCGTGGATTTGCGCCCCCTAACCTGTGGATTTGCCCTAACCCCAGATGTTGCGCCCGGTGCGGCCGGCCCCCCCTGCACCCCCCACGCTACGCCACTGGCTGTTGGTATAGTGAGTTGGTAAATAGGTACAAGTTTTGTTTCCCCCCCTTCCCCATCTTAGCAGTAGTCTTTAAAAATAGCCTCTTGTCTAAAGAGGCTGCAGTCCTAAGCACACTTACTAGATAGTAAGCCCCATTGTGCTCATTGGGATTTGCTTCTGAATGGCTGTGCTTAGATTGCACTTTTGGTGTCTAATCTTGGGTTTTGTCTCTGTGGAAGGTCACTGAGGAGTCCACGAAGGCGACCAACATAGTGCTGCTCTCTTCTTCTCCGTAGTTCCCTGTAGATTTCCTTATTGTGAGATTTAAGCAAAATTGAAGTGATCCTCTGTGAATGGTGGAAGCTTACCAGGGATGATGTTGGGTCCTGTGGCTGGCCTTTTATGTCCGAGCGATGCTTATTCCATGCTTCATCTTTGTAGAAGCCATTGCTGTGACCTGGTGAATGGGAGGGAATGACTGGGCATTTTATCAGCGCTTCCCAAAGTTACCTTGTTTCTTCACGGGGGAAAGGGGTGATACCTTAAAGAAGGGGTGATCAACTATGGTATATTGTTAACTCATAAATAATAAGTAACATTATTTTTAGTATTATAATAAAGGGTTGACCTTTGGCCTGGCACTTCAGTTTTGGAGAAGACTTGCGCTCATACCAGTGGGAGCCAATTTATTAGGAGAGGTGATTTTCATTGGGATGGTAGCTGAGGAGTAAAGCAGCAAACATCTACCTCCCCTGTGCACTAGGATGCCAGTGAAAATCTCCCATGGTGCACCAGTTAGGCCTTGGGTGGTGGGGGAGTTTCCATTACTGCTGACAGGGTTGTGTAGTGGTTAAGAGCGGTAGACTCGTAATCTGGTGAACCGGGTTCAATTCCCTGTTCCTCCACATGCAGCTGCTGGGTGACCTTGGGCTAGTCACACTTCTCTGAAGTCTCTCAGCCTCACTCACCTCGCAGAGTGTTTGTTGTGGGGGAGGAAGGGAAAGGAGAATGTTAGCCTCTTTGAGACTCCTTAGGGTAGTGATAAAGCGGGATATCAAATCCAAACTCTTCTTCTTCAGGAGCTTTTCCCAATCCTAATTGCCACCTATGTGTTGTGTGTGGGGATTATTTTCCATGGGATGGCAGCCGAGGGGGTAGAGAAGTATAAAGGAGAGAGAATGAGTTTGGTGGACGGGGAGGGGGGAGAGACAGAGAGAGGGGGGAATAGAACCACCCATGCCAGATATGTGCTGCAAGCATACACGTCAGATCCTAGGGGCCAAGGCACTTCCTCCACCACCCCAGTGTTTTGTTTTTTGAGGGTCCCAGGCTCCCTCAATATTCAGAGGGCCTTTGGCTCTGCCCCCCCCCCGGCTCCTCACGACGTTGTGTGTGTGTGTGACATCAGGATGCCACATGAGGTCCCCTCAATCATCTTGAGAAGATGGTGCCTCTGGCCCTGAGAACATAGTAAGTCCCTGCTGGGTCAGGCCAATGGCCCATCTAGTCCAGCTTCCTGTTCTCACAGTGTCCAACCAGATGCCCGTGGGAAGCCCATAAGCAGGTCCTGAGCACAAGAGCCCTCTCCCCTCTGCGGTTTCCAACAACTGCTATTCAGAAGCTTATCGCAGTCAGGAATAAGAGCCACAGATAGTCTTTACCTCAGTGAATCTGTGTAAGCCTCTTCTAAAGCCATCCATATTGATGGGCTTCACTGCCTCATGTGGTAGCGAATGCCATAGTTTTAACTATGCACCAACAAGGACCCCCCCTTTTTTGGGTCTGCTTTGAATCCTCCATCATTCAGCTTTCAACACAAGTCCTAGGATTGTGAGAGAGGGAGCCAAACTTTTCTCTATCCACTTTCTCCATACCGTGCATAATTTTATAAACTTCTATTTCTAGCAGTTTGAAAGCATGTCAAAGAGCAAGTAGATAAATAGGTACCACTCTGGTGGGAAGGTAAATGGCGTTTTCGTGTGCTGCTCTGGTTCACCAGAAGTGGCTTTGTCATGCTGGCCACATGACCCGGAAGCTGTCTGTGGACAAACGCCGGCTCCCTCGGCCTATAGAGCGAGATGAGCGCACAACCCCAGAGTCGGTCACGACTGGACCTAATGGTCAGGGGTCCCTTTACCCTTTTTATCATGTCACTTTTTCTCTAAACTAAAAAGCTGCAAATGCCTTTTTAGTTTTCCAAGACTGGAACAAGAGTTTCTCCACTCCTGTTTTATGGCTGCTGGTGTTTCTGGTGTTACAGCATTTGAAGGAATGTTTGTCACATGTTTTGGAGGAACAGAAACACTGCAGCCTGGCCAAGTGGCATGTGGAACATGACCTTGTGAGAAATGGCTGCAGGACCAGTTCAGCCATAGACTTGCTACTTGGCCTTAGGCAAGTTGCTGGACTCTTAGCTGGAGTTTTTCACCTGTAAAATGAAAGAAGTCTATCCCAAGGTCGTCACCTTTGCAGCTAAAGAAGACTATAAAAAACATTGTACCCAAAGTGCAAATGACTGTAGAATTTTTAAAAAACCCAAACATTATGCATGCTAATATATTTTTACACCTGAGAGAGGAAGATATTCTGAGACTTCTACCACTAAGTTCACACTTAACCGCTTTTCCTAGAACTCAAGTGCTTACTGCTTTATTTAAATTGGATTTGGGCCACAATCCTGCACACTTATGTAGGAGTAAGTCTCATGGAGCTCAGTGGGATTTGCTTTCTGAGTGATTGGGCTTAATCATTTGAATGTGTTTAACTTTTCCATTACTATGAATAGTTAATGTTTTTTATTGAATTACTCCTGCCATATATGCACTGATGAGTTCTTATAGACAGGTATCTAAAGGGATGATGGTTGTCCATCATATTTTCAGCCTGAAGCATTGTACGTGCAAACGACTATTTTCATTGGAGGTTGTCCTCTCTCTCTCTCTCTCTCTCTCTCTCTCTCTCTCTCTCCCCCTTTGCAAATTACCAAAGGATTTGCTGTTTGCTTCTCTTCCATTTACAGGTATCCCATATAAGCAGCTGACTGTGGGTGTTCCCAAGGAGATATTTCAGAATGAGAAGAGAGTGGCCTTGTCGCCGGCAGGCGTTCAAGCCCTGGTTAAACAAGGGTTTAACGTTGTTGTGGAGTCGACTGCAGGAGAAGCTTCCAAATTCTCTGATGACCATTACAGAGAGGCAGGGGCACAGATCCAAGGGACGAAGGAAGTCTTGGCGTCTGATCTAGTCGTCAAGGTAATTCTGGATCCCCCCCCCAATACTTCCCTATCACAGGTGTGGCGAAACCTTTTCAGCTTCTGGGGCCCGCAAGCCAGAGGTGGGTGGGGCCATAGGCACACGTGGGCATGCCTAGAGGCAAAAGTGGGCATAGCAATGGATGTGACTCCTGCCTTTGTACCAGAGGCTAATTTACAGCCAAGTAAAAAGTCCCCACCCACCCACATCATTCCATCTAGACAGGCAAGAGCCATCTTCATAGTTCCAGGGACATAGTCCAGCCAGGCAAAAACATTGAGCTAAGGGACATAGAAAATAGGTTTGTGGCTTGGGGAAGGGTTGTGGCTCAGTGGTAAAGGTCCCAGGTACAATCTCTGTCATCTCCTGGTACGGCTGGGGATGGTTCCCTGTCTGAAGTCTTGGAGAATGGCTGCCAGTCAGGGTAGATAATACTGAGGTAGATGGACCAATGATCTGACTCGATATAGGCAGCTTCCTATGACAGTCCCAAGGGTTGGATAGAGAGGCCTGTGGGGCTGCATTTGGGCCCCTGGCCTGAGGTTCCCTACCCCTGCCCCATTCATCCTGTCGTATGAATGCCCTATTTATGTGGTCGCTGCTGAGTAGAGAAATAATGCTGAGTTAACCTTGTAGGGTGGAGTCAGACTGCAGCACAGAAGGCACAGAGTGTCGCAGATTCACTGCCAGATGGCAGCTTTGATGCAGGCTACGATCTGGAGGTGTTGAGTTTGCACTTGCTCATGGAGTCTTCTTAGTTCCCCCACCAAGTTCCTGCTTGGCAGGGGGTTGGACTCGATGGCCCTTGTGGTCTCTTCCAACTCTATGATTCTATGATTCTATGATTCTAAGTATAGACTCCCAGTACTTTATGTTGTGCAGGCCACGGAGCTACATTTTAGCCTGTGCAGAGGTGGCTTTCCAACTTTTGTGTTCCAGAGGATCCTGGTGTTTCCGGGAAGCTTACTGATGCCAAGTTCAGTAAGATATGGGCCTACGGTTTCTGCAGGCAATCTAGCAAGGCCTCACATGCTTGCCCAGGTTCCCTTGCCATGTGAGAATGGCGAGAATCCTTGGATTCACTGGTGCGGTGTAAAGGAATGTGTGTAGCAGACCATTTACCACTGGGGAGCTCTTCCTGTGCTAGGAAAGATTTGAAGGCAATTTGTAAACTGATATGAGTATTTGCTTGCAGGAGCGAGTGATGGGGGAATTCCAGAAATGCTGAGCTAGATCTATGGAACTGGCCCATGGTGATCTGTGCATCAGGGCTGCTCACATATAAAGGAGAACAAAGGAAGCCAGTGCCACATATTCATGAGTGTGCGATTTGTGTTGCCTACTGTCCTCCTTTGGTGCACTGCAGTTGCTGCAAGAAGACCTCAATAAGTAGCCTCAGTTGTTAAGTACAGTAGCTCATTGCATAAGTCACTTGCACTGTCTGTAGAATTTCCATGCAACTAGCTGCTAGGAAGATAAGTTAATTCCCTCCTCCGTTTGGCAACCACAGCTCATGTATCTATCCTAACTCTCCAGATGTATTCAACAGATGGTGCGTGGGTGAGAGCTTTCTCAAAATATTGACTGCATATTTTTTATTTTGTATGTGCTTCGATATATTGTGATCATGAGCCACAGTTGCCATACTTAAAAAAATTAAGTTTCCTCTGCTGGCTGCATTTGTGATCTTTAATCAGCCTGCAGGGACAGTGTTTTTTTAAAAAACACTGTAATGTGAGGAATGGGATTTCCCTGCCATGATATTTCTAAAACATGTGTGAGCGAATCCTCAAACAGAAAGGAAACCTCAGTCCTTGCAGTCCAAATGCACTTATCACAAGGCACGTTATCGACTGAGCAAAGTCCATTCCTGCAGCTGCTCTTGAATGGCAATGATGTGCTAAGTCTTGGCTCCTGTAGTCTAAACATTTCGAAATGCATTAGGAGCTGCCCTATACAAAATCAGACCATAGGTCAACATTATCTACACTGACTTGGGAGTGGCTTTCTAACATTTCAGGCAAGATTGTTTCTTTGCCATTCTGGGGATTTCAAAAGGGGAACCTTTTGCATCCAAAGCATGTGCTTCACTGCTGAGCCATGGTCTGGCTAGAAACATACGGAATTATAAGTTTTGTCCACAGTAGCTTATTCAGCTCATGTTGCAGTAATGAAAGTACATCAGCTGGCAGTTAGGATGTCCTTGGTTTAAATCTTAAATATTCAGACTTGGAACGCAGAATTGGCCTTACTACATCTCACCCTCAATGCATTCTTCCCTTGTTACCATAATAAGGATAATAATTAAAAAATAAAAATATTAGCCTGCACCACAGAGCTGTTTGAGGATTGCTGAGATACTGTATTTGAGAGCTGTAGTGCTGCAGTGGCTGTTAGGCTGAGCTCGGAACCATGACTCCTTGTTTCAGAAGGTATTGTGAGGCAACCCACATGCTCCCAGGGATGAAATTCTGGTGTAGATTTGGACCCTGGCAGGTGCAATTGAGGGTATTAACAATTTGCCTTCTGCCACAGTCCCAATCTGGAATGGGAAGGAAAGCTTCCTGTTACTGTTTCCCTAATGCAAATAGCAGTTGTTGGACCCCTCATCTGGACTGAGACTGCAGCTTGAGGGGGCAAAGTGTTGAAGATCACTTATACCACTGCCAAGGGTCCGAGCTACATCAGTCTCCTACACCTGCTGTTTGCACTTAATGTACCTGTTAACGGTTTGAACATTACCTATTTTAGCACCAGTCCCTCTGCAACATTGGAATGAAAACTGTCCTTCTTTATATGCAGGTGTTTAGGATTATTAGGATGATTCCTGAGAAGCATATTGAACAGTCTTTAGCACTATGAAAATGCTAAGTGATGCTTTATTAATTTTTGCGCATTCTCAATTTCAGGTGAGAGCTCCTATGTTGAATCCAGCTCTTGGCATGCACGAGGCAGATCTCTTTAAGTCATCTGGTACCCTAATCAGTTTCATCTACCCAGCTCAAAACCCAGACCTCCTGAACAAACTGTCAGAAAGAAGAACCACTGTCTTAGCTATGGATCAGGTCCCTCGCGTGACCATTGCTCAAGGATATGATGCTCTCAGCTCCATGGCCAACATCGCTGGGTATGAAAACACAATGTTTTAGCCAGCTGTGTGATTACATCAATGAACAGTTGGGTTTTGGTTGGGATTCATATCCCAAACAAACCTTTGTTTGGGATAGGAATCCCAACCAAAGGTTTGTTTTCATTTGTGAACAAGGGCAGCCCACGTGGTGCTCTCCACACGTTGTGGACCATAGCTTCTACCATCCATGACACTTTGGCATGCTGGCTGGGGCTGATGGAAGTTGTGGTATGCCATATGGTGAGGGCACCATGTTGTCTATCCCATGGATAAGCGATTATGTCCAGTTGTGGAGATATACCTGGAGGTGTAGTCAAGGCTATGTGGTTTGGAAAATATTTAAGAATCTGTGTCTATTTGGGTTCAAAGAATGTATGGGAATCTGAAGCCCACTAGGTTCTCTCTGTTACTGAGGGTGTGGATTCATTAGCTGGGAAAGGAATTAGGAAGGAATTACTTGCAGGTGAAGAATCTGAATACTTGCACATACAAAGGAGTTTTTAAGCTCCTGCAGATTTGACCCAAACTTTGTAATGCCCAAAGAGCACGGGCCAGATCAGAGGGAGGTTGCCATCAACAGCTTGTGCATCTCCTTAGGAATGAGGAAATGGGAAGGCTATGTTTTGGACAAGCAAATTTGTCCAGCAGATACCCCTGCTATTTGTACCATCTTGAAATAAACAACAACACCCTCTTCTGAATAAATAAAATAAATGTAAGGTTGGGAAATGATACTGATGCTTGTGTTCTCCTTTATTTCTGACAGCTATAAGGCAGTTGTGTTGGCAGCCAATCACTTTGGTCGTTTCTTTACGGGTCAGATCACAGCAGCTGGCAAAGTCCCTCCAGCTAAGGTAGGTAATGAAATAAGTGCAAGTGCAGTTATTTGCAGGGACAATTATCAGGTGATAGAAATGTGATGTGACTTTGCATTTCAACTGCAATAGATACTGGTTGGAATTTTGTTTCACAGGATGACTACCCCCCCCCCTTTATTTAGCATCTCTCAGTGAGCCAAATATAGCTTCTTTTGCTGTTAGTAGGCATTTGTTTGGATGCAGCTGAGGCTGAATGGCTTATGAATTGGCATCCTTCAAAGTTTAAGATGTTCAAATTGTAGACGTTTAATGTAAAGATTGGCTTGCTGTTGCTGGAATACAAGGTCTTCATATACAGCGGAGTATGTCTTATGAATTGCATTTTTGGTTAAAGAGATGCTGTGCTTTTTATCTAGACTACAACCTAAAGAACAACACTTTGCTGATGTCTAGAATTCTAGGTTTAATTTTTGTTTTTATGGGCCCCCTTTTTGTTACAGGCTTGTAAAATAAAGTCCAAAGATCTGTACTGAGACTAGTGCTGTTGTAACAAGTACAGTACAAAGTGTTGTGTGCAGATCCTAAAGTACAAAATACACACAGATATTTTTGTGTGTGATTTGCTACTTTCTCCTTTAAAAGTGGGAAAGCCCCAAACCTGACATGTTGGTGTGTTTTAATAACTTTTTTTTATCTGCTGTTCATTTTAAATATCATTTAGATGGTTTAAATAGTTAAACTTTTTAAATATAATTTTAATATTAATTCTAGGTTTCATTAAAATCAAGGACTATATAAATTTTGATAAATAAAACAATATAAGGGTGGAGAAAATATTAGAGTATATTAAAGGACAAGTAATATATGCTTTATTTTGTTCCTGGGATATTTCTGTGCAAAATACTGCACCAGATACTGCTTTTGCAAGAGGATTAAATTTGGTTCTCCAGGAGCAATGTAGTAGTAATCGCTTGGAAGCTTACTGACCAGATTGAGTTTATTCTGCACTAACCAAATCAGATATTTTTAGTGGGGAAAGCTCCATGGTCTCTTTAATTTATGCAAATTAAGTATTCTTGCAATATTTTCATTAGTCTGCATAATTTGTCCTGCTTCTGCATGCACAGAAGAAGATTCACTCTCCTGCATTACAATTAGTTACAGGGAATCAGTGGAATCTTTATCCCCTATTACTAATTGCAGCGTGTGTGTGATTTCTGTGGAAATTGTGGCTGGGGAGAGAAGGCTAGAATTTTCCTTCCTTGTGAGCTGTGGTCCTGCTAAAAAGTTCACTTTCGTTTACTATTAATAATTAATTATAATTAATAATAATGGCAATTGCTGAAATTAAGGGGTTGCTAGCTGTAATTATTATGTAATATGAAAAGAAAGCTTAAAAAATTTAATCGAAATTAAGGGAAGGATTTGTTGAAGAGAATTAATTAGAGAATGGAATGCAGTAAGGAGAGGTATGAGGAGGTCGGGAAAGTAATTTTCATGAACATAAGGGAATGAAGTTATACATGTGGTTTTTTTGCCTTTTTGTATGTATTTTTGATTTTCTTTTTTGTGTTTTTTTTGTGATTTTTATGTTCTATAAAATTTGTGAAAATGCTAATAAATATCTTATAAAATAATAATAATAATAATAATGGCAATTGCCTGACGTGATTGGGTGGTGCATCTAGCATCCCTGTAGTTAGGCCTCCAGATTTGCCAGATGTTGAATACAAATAATACCAGCTTCCAAGGAACTGTGGGATATGCATGCATTCCTGCTTACTGTGCTGCTTATGTACTTAATGGAAAGGTGGTAGTCCCTTATTTAAGCTTAGTGCTATCACCCTGCTGCTCCCCCACATTCACAAGGAGAAGCTGCACTGGATTTAGCTATTGTCTTCCTCCAGCTGCTTACAGATGGTGCATGGTTACTGTGCAGCTTTTGGTTTTCTAAATCTACCCCGAAAGAAGCCCTGGCTGCTCTTTTCCCAAATACTGTTGCACTGTTTAGAAAGATCCAAGGGATAATACAGATTATATTAGTGTCGAGCTAGTTTAGCTATATCTTGGCATTGGGGGATTGTGGGAAGGCCAGAACAAAAGTTTGGGAGTGTAGAGTCTTAACCAGATGTAGAAGAGGTTAATCCTCTTGGTCCCAAGGATGTGTAAAGGTCAAAGAAGTCACGCTGAAATGGGAGCAATGTGTTCATTTCTGCAGAGGACAAGAAGAATGTCCCAGAGTGAGAGAGCAAAGACTAGGAGGCCCCATGGCAAGGAAGGGGTGAGCTTGGTGTCCTTGACAAGCAGAAAATCATTCTTGTGCAGTAAACCAGATGGATAAAACGCTTTTTCTGTTTGGACTGTCAACAGAACAGCCAAACTGAGTTTTGTACTCTTAACCCAGTGAGACTTCTTAACACTTTCAGAATATGGCTCTGTCTGAACTGGGTTTTAAGACCTGAAACAGGGATTGTGAGAATGAGACCAAAGACTGAGATATGTGCACAGTCACATCTATTGTGGATATCTGGAATACTCCATGTTTGCTGCTTTCCCAGCTTCCTGAATGTGCACAGGTGACCAGATATCCTATCAGAGGGAAAACTCACAATTGTGCTTGGGAGTAGTTCCTCTTGTTTACAAAATAGCTACCTGATGGTTGGGAAGCTGCAAAGGGCCCTTTTGATTGAAATATTATTCCGTTGACTGGCTGACTACTCTTTTTTTTTGGGTAAGGCACTGAAGGAGCTGGGCTCTGCTTGAACCTAGCTTGTTCAAGGCTCAGGAAACCATTTTCATTCCTTATTCATTTGACACTGAACCGATGCCAGTTGATTTGTGACTTAACTGCACTGTGTTTTGCGGACACAGGTTCTGATCATTGGTGGCGGAGTCGCAGGCTTAGCCTCTGCAGGAGCAGCTAAATCAATGGGAGCTGTGGTTCGTGGGTTTGATACCAGGTATGTGCATACCCATTGTTAATTATTGCTAGCGGTCCTTACTATTTCATTTGTATCCATCTCTTCTGCCAAGAAGTTTGGGCCAGCATGTCATACGTGGGGTCCCAGATAAACACAGGGAATTCCCTTACACTGCATCTGGGCTTTGGTCCATCTAGACCACCCTTGTGGGCCTATTTGACTCAGTAAAAAGCCCTTCCTGGGTGGAGCCTTCACTAACACTGTCCTTTCGTTTCTCCCCAACACCCTTCCTGTTAAAAGCTTATTTTTCTCTTCAAATTCATAGAGCTGCAGCATTGGAACAGTTCAAATCACTAGGTGCGGAGCCTTTGGAGGTTGACCTAAAAGAATCTGGGGAAGGGCAGGGAGGCTATGCAAAAGAGATGTCTAAAGAGTTCATTGAAGCCGAGATGAAACTCTTTGCAAAACAGTGCGAAGATGTCGACATTATCATCACGACAGCTCTCATTCCTGGTAGGTGTCCTGTGGAGCAGGCAGCCCTTTTCCTGTTGAAATGAAAAGAATGTGTTTGCTTAAGCAGATTTGCAAAGATATTTGTTCTGACTTGGCGTCAAAACAGCACATGACTCGAAATTCGTCACTGGCTAGTACATCATGTTTTAAAAAACTTTGATAATAGGCACGTCTGCACACAATTATTTTTATTGGGACCACAATGCATAGAGAGGGGAGATTGAATCTTTCCCTCCCCAGCCATGATCTTGCCAAAATTGCTCCTTCATTGTGTTGGTATTTAACTCATGGTGAAGGTGTTAAGGTTCATTCAATATTGGGTGGTCTTTTCTGAAGGCTATTAGCAGTGCAGGAGAGAGTGATTTTCGTCAGGATCATGACTGCAAGGGAAGTTTTCCACCTCTCCCTCTCTCTCTCTGCACACTGTGGTCCAAATGCAAGCTGTCGGTTAGTTGGCATCGTTATTGCTTTTGCATCGTGCCATTTGGAGCCCAAGATGTTAGCCCTGCAAAAGATATGTATCAATCTGCCATTGATACTAACTTCAGCTGCCTTCCTGCTGAAAGTAGTCACAACCTCAGATCTGAGTTTGTGTGCAAGACTGCTAGGTTTCTTCCCATTACAGTGGTACCTCGGGTTAAATACTTAATTCGTTCCGGAGGTCTGTTCTTGACCTGAAACTGTTCTTAACCTGAAGCACCACTTTAGCTAATGGGGCCTCCTGCTGCCACCGCGCCACTGGAGCACGATTTCTGTTCTCATCCTGAAGCAAAGTTCTTAATCCGAGGTACTATTTCTGGGTTAGCGGAGTCGGTAACCTGAAGAGTATGTAACCTGAAGCATATGTAACCCGAGGTACCACAGTACAGAACATTTCTGCCCATAACACTTTACTGCTGTCACGTTTGGGATACAATTTGGAATACTCAGCACCAGCCTCCCATTAGGTTGGCCACTCTTCAACTTCCCATGATGTTTTGGTAGCGTCTTAGTGGAGGAGCGGGACGCGGGTGGTGCTGCGGGTAAAAGCCTCAGCGCCTAGGGCTTGCCGATCGAAAGGTTGGCGGTTCGAATCCCCGCGGCGGGGTGCGCTCCCGTTGCTCGGTCCCAGCGCCTGCCAACCTAGCAGTTCGAAAGCACCCCCAGGTGCAAGTAGATAAATAGGGACCGCTTACTGGCGGGAAGGTAAACGGCGTTTCCGTGTGCTGCGCTGGCTCGCCAGATGCAGCTTTGTCACGCTGGCCATGTGACCCGGAAGTGTCTCCGGACAGTGCTGGCCCCGGGCCTCTTGAGTGAGATGGGCGCACAACCCCAGAGTCTGTCAAGACTGGCCCGTACGGGCAGGCGTACCTTTACCTTTACCTTAGTGGAGGAGAGGGCTTCTTCCTATCTAGGGATGTATCTTGCTCCCATTGAATCGGGGATAATCTGGAAGTGAATCAGATTGTTGTGTATGGAAATGCATGCATGCAACTAAAATACTGTGTTTACTGAATTACATGCAAATCAAGGGGAAAATTAAGAGAAAACATTTCTTCCTTTAGAGCACCCTTTCTCAACCTGTGGGTCCCCAGATGTTGTTGAACTACAACTCCCATCACCCCTAGCTAGCAAGGCTAGAGCTCAGGGATGATGGGAGTTGTAGTCCAACAACATCGGGGGCCCCACAGGTTGAGAACTGCTGCTGTAGAGGAAAATGTGATCACTGGTTCTTCCTTATATGGTGTACTTGATACAGTGCTTTCCTACTTCCCCCCCCAGGTAAAAAAGCTCCAATCCTCTTTCGGAAAGATATGATTGAATTGATGAAGGAAGGCTCAGTTGTTGTAGACCTAGCTGCTGAAGCTGGGGGAAACATTGAAACTACAAAGCCAGGAGAACTCTATATTCACAAGGTACTGGTTTCTTAGTAGCCACCTGATATTCTTAGTAGCCGCTTTCAGCAGCAGCCTTTGTAGGTGGAGTAAGTCAGGGCCCCACCCACACATGACTGGCAGCAGCTCTCCAGGGTTTCTGATGGGACATTCCCAGCCGTACCTGGAGATGAACCCTAGGTCCTATTGTATACAAAGCAAATGGTATACCATTGAGCTGTGACCCTTCCCATTCATTTGGCAAAATCAACATTTAGTACCATATTCTTAGATGCTGATGTCTAGGAATGGTCCCCCTGCCCCCCGACTTTGACTTCAGGAGTTGTGTCTCAGCTTGCTTATTCATCAAGCCATATTTTTGGTATCTCCAGGGAATTACACACATAGGTTATACGGACCTTCCCAGCAGAATGGCCACCCAAGCCAGCACATTGTATTCCAATAACATCACCAAGCTCCTGAAGGCCATCAGCCCGGACAAGGAGAAGTTCTTCCTTGACATAAAGGATGAATTCGACTATGGTACCCTGGACCATGTTGTAAGAGGAACAGTGGTAATGAAGGTAAGCTAATCTATGTTATTTCTTGAATTAGGAGTCCAAGCCTCCGCCTGTTTTTCTTTTCTTTTTTCTACAACCTGAATTGAAGCACCTGTATGTTTTGAAATTCCCCCGGATGATCTGTCATCCATGTGCAAGGAAGCTAGTATTATGTGTGTTCAACTGACTTTCATTTTACAGCACTATACATGCATTACTTAATCCTGGGGGTACATCCATCAGTTTAGCCTTTTTTTGGCTTCAAATGAACCAAGCTTGTTGAACGGAACTAAACAATGCATTGAGATTCATGCAGTGTTATCCAGATATGATATCTGGCTATTCCTTTGTTAATTCTTGTTTGTTAAAAATGCTTATGCATAGCTCCTTGCCAGTATAATACATACACACACCAATCAGCAGATAAGATTTGCTTGAGAGCCACTTTGATGTCCCGGGTGTGTGTGTGTGTGTGTGTGTGTGTGTGTCACTTTGGCCCAGGAGATTGCAAATTATCTGTTCTGTTGGATAAAACCACAACTGCTTTTTCTCAGGACGGAAAGGTGATTTTTCCAGCACCATCTCCTAAGAACATTCCTCAGGCAGCGCCTGTGAAGCAGAAGACTGTGGCAGAGCTGGAAGCAGAAAAAGCAGCCACCATTACACCCTTCAGGAAAACAATGACAACTGCCTCTGCGTACACAGCAGGTGAGAAAGCAGCTGCCGTAATCTGGCCACTCCGTGGAACCTGCATCCAAAGATCTTCCCTGGCCTAATAATGTTCAGAAGTAAAGATGGATCTTGCTGTCAAATTATAGGGAGCCAGGTAGCTAATCTTTCCTCTTCCTCTCAGGTCATTCACTCTTGGCGAATCCTCTCAGGTGTGTGTGTGTGTGCATGTGCATATCAACTGTGGCTTGCATTCCTGCAGCCCCCAACCTCAGTTGATCCATACAGCGAGCTGAGAAGGGGAGGCATTATTGTCCCCATTCCATTCAAATGATCAATTCTGTGACTTGGTGTGTGTGAATGATTTACATCCCTATCGGGTAAAGGGGCTCTGCTCACCCCAGCACTCTTATTTTTTTGCCACTGCCAAAATTGGTGGAGGTAGAATAACTAACTTTTTTTTGGTGTGTGTGTGTGTGTATACATATAGAGCTTTCCGAACTATCATGCTATTTAATCTATTCTGGGCCTTTAAGCGGGAGAAGGAGAGAGATGAAATGTACATTGCCAGAAAATATCAGAAGCAAGGTCTAGCTTTGCTAGTACTTCCCATGGATCATGTGCTATTTAGGCAGCCTGAAAATGCTAGAAAAATTACTTTGAGAAAAATGAATGACTTCAGCATCTTTGTAGGACTAGCTGTCTTAGCCACCTTGGACTCCTTGGAGGAATGTGTGGGGTACAAATTTAATAAATGAACACAACTGTAGAAACAAAGGGAGGCTGTATTTTGTCAGTGTTTAAAACTTAGCATGAAATTTACCATATGTTTTCATTCATTGCAGGACTTAATGCTCTCTTGTCTTGTAGGACTCAGTACCTTGCTCGGATTGGGTGTTGCCGCTCCAAATTCAGCTTTCACTCAGATGGTGACAACATTTGGCTTGGCTGGGATTGTTGGGTACCACACGGTATGGGGTGTGACGCCTGCACTCCACTCGCCACTCATGTCTGTGACGAACGCCATCTCAGGTAAAACAAATGACCCCTTTTTTTGGTTTTGACCCTGACATTTCTCTGAGGGGTGTCACTTAAAAGTGTAAATGACACCAAACATACCTGTGTCTGGAAATGTGTGTCATATAGGTGCCCTCAACCGACAGCCAGAGGATGGGTTGCAGCTCCCTCTTTGTGGGGTAAACGTTGCTGTCACATAATGTGTTCACAAGCCTAAAATGTGGGTTTCAGGTATGGTTACCAAAAAATAAATAAAGCCAACCAAAAGTATTGTTGGGACACAAGGTATTATAGACTAGAGTCCTAGAGTCTGTTTCATCACATGTACAATTTGCCTGGAAATCAGTAGGTTTATGCACAGCGGAGCCAGGTTTTACACAGTGATTAACAAAATGCAAGATAATCAAATGGAATTAATTATGTCCATCTTAGTTCTCTTGGAACCCAAGAATGGGCTAACGTTTGCAACATCAGCCATATAAAACCCTGGCTTAGCCAAAAGGGTCTTGTAGAGTCCACTTCAAAGTGCTGAACACTTCTGCAAAGTGCTCTGCATCAGGTGATTGATGAGATAACTATCTGGCCAAATCCAGTTTCCGGCCCTTATCTAGATACTTACCACTGTCATAATTTGGTAGGTGGTATCTAGCTGCATTGCTGGTGACATTAAGTGTACATTTGGTAGGGTAGTCCAATGCAGATTTGAAAGTATTATCTAGTTAAGATGCATTCAGATAGCACCTTATTCCATTTTCCCTGATAATTTTTGTGTTCTGTGTGATCTTTCACATAATGTAAAAGACCCTTGTGGAAGTCTAGTGAAAATTTAGCTCTCATTTCTCTGTTAACTGCTTCCAGCAAAAATACCTTTTGCAACCCCGCTAACCTGGAAAATGATGGGGCAAAATTTGGTGCAGTATTCTGACATATAGTCCTTCCCCACCATTTTCATGGGTGACTCATGGATGCAAAAAAGTACACATAAACACTAAAGGGTTTGTGTCTGGGTGGTGGTGAAATGTTCACTGTTGTGTCACACCAAACCTGCTGGTGTGAATGAAAATTAGTGCAATCTATCAATCAAAAACTCAGTTCCATAAGGCAACAGTTAATGCACAATAGAAGGAATGTTAGAAACCAGAACAAGAGCATTGTAAACAGGAACACTAACATAACAATCTCCGTTGGTGTTCCTCACTTCTTGAATCAGAGGCAGGCATATATACTGACATCAGTTTCCCCTGTTGTACAGGAACTTAAATGCTGTTTTCCGCCCCACAGGGTTGACAGCTGTTGGTGGATTGGCACTGATGGGGGGACAATATCTCCCTGATAATGTGCCTCAAAGCCTTGCTGTTCTTGCTGCTTTTGTGTCCTCTATCAACATTGCAGGTATGGACTATCTTTTGGCTTTCTTGCTTGTTGTCTTTAGGAATGTTGAACCAAGACAGTGATGTCACGAATTGCAATGGCCAAGAGGTATGGTATGCTTGTGTATCCAAATTGAGAGAAACCAGTGAAATACGTTTCTGACTGATTGCTATGATCCTCTAGTTATTTGTTCACGAGAAACCTGAGTCATTAAGCTTGTGCAGTGGCAACAAGATCCATCACAGGTCCTAATGTCACCATGCTATAGAGGAAGGACCATATAGCTCAGGGGCAGAATGTTTGCCTTGCATGTTTGCCTTGCATGCAGGTCTCAGGTTCAATCACTGATATCTCCAGGTAGGGCTGGGAGAGGCTTCCTGTCTGAAACTCTGGAGAGCCATTGACTGTCCATGTAGACAATACTGAGCTAAATGGACCAATGGGTATAACTCGGTACGGTATAAGCAACTTCCTCAGTGAGCTGAGGCCATGATGAGGATGACTTTGCCAGTGTTGGAGAGCTTTTCCATGAACTGCCTTAGACTGAGCCAGACCCTTGGTCCATGTAGCTCAGCATTGTCTACACTGACTGGCAGCAGATCTCAAAGGTTTCAGGTAGGAGTTTCTCCCAGCCGTACCTGGTGGGGATTGAACCTAGGACCTTCTGCATGCAAAGCAGATGCTCTACCACTGAGCTGTCACCTTTCCATTCCAGGCCTGGCTTGCTCTGCTATTTATGCGCAAGCTATCAGCAGCACTGTATTTCTCCCCTGCTCCAACAGATATACACTGAGATCCTCTTGGACGTCTGGTTTTGTTATGTGTTGATACCATGCCGCTCACATGGACCATGCCCCAGTCAGTGATAGCTAAACATCTGTTCTGGTTCTGGTTTCAGCCTCCCCCTCTTGCATGCATCATATAATAATTCACAATTGCATGAGGACAAACCTGTCAGGAGCTGGAGTCAAGTGTAGGTCAGTAATAAAAAACCACAGTGCCGGTGAAGTTAACTCTTCACTCAAGAGACCAAAACAGCTCAGGCCTTGTGATCCCAGCAACTCTTCCCAGTATGTCTTGCCCCAATGCAGCAGTTATGAGGACTGAAGGTCCTCGCCTTCCCACAGCTGCCTGACCCCTCCTCTCAGGGTTTTTTCCAAGCGATTGTAGACTGTGTCTGCGCACAACCAATCTCTCCTCTGCCCTTTTCATTTCTCTCTGTCTTCTGGGTGAACAGGGTTTGAGGGAAGCTGGTCACAGCAAGAGGGGAGACTCCCTGGATTCTTCAGCAGCCGGCCTCTGTCTCCTGTGCCCGCTCCTGCCTCTGAGTCTGGTCTGCCCTCTGCTGCAGACTCTTCCTGCTCACTCAACCCTGTTGCCTCCTCACCTTCCGACACCTCTCCCCCCTGTCTGCCCCTTCTTCCCTCTCTGATCACTCATCATCATCCCACCACCAATCCCTGGGCTCTGAGCCATCTTTCCTTGGGGGGGGGGGTTCCCCAGCTGGTGCCTCTCCCCACTCCTCTGCATCCAGCCAGTCCATGCCAGCACCCTAGGAGAGGCTGAGAGTCTTTTATTAAACGGAGACTTAAATTTCAGAACAATTGCCCATGTTCCTAGCATTCAATAATACCATTATGCTGGTTTCGAAATCTAAATATTCTTTTCTTTTCTTTATGGGAAAGGTGGTTTCCTAGTCACACAGAGGATGCTGGATATGTTCAAGCGCCCCACTGATCCCCCGAATACAATTACTTGTACCTGTTGCCTGCTGGCACTTTTATAGGAGGATATGCAGCAGCTCTCCATAGCGGGTATAACATTGAACAGGTAAGAAGATCTCTTGGGGACCCAGGGTACCATTTTCTTTCGTTGCATAGAGAAAATGTAAATGGCAGTTTTCGGGGGCATATTACAGACTGCATGCACACCCCTCTCCCCCCCCCAATCAACATCTAGGAACGGTAGTTTTTAAATGGTGCTGAGAATTGTATCTCTTTGAGAGGTGTAAACTACAGTTCTCAAGATTATTTCTGCATGTGTGTGCTTTAAATGCATGCTGTGTGAGGCTGAATTCTATCTACCTAAGAGAGTCATCCCCCCCTTTTTTTTGCTGCAGATTGCCCCAATTCTTCTGTGGTGAAAACACAGCAGAACTTTTGGGAATGGCACATGATAATGTAAACAAATTGCTAATGCAGAGAAGATGAGGGTTCTTAAACCCCCATTCTAAGTAAAGAATAGGACCCACGTATTGGTTCGAATCCCCTCGACGGGGTGAGCTCCCGTTGCTCGGTCCCTGCTCCTGCCAACCTAGCAGTTTGAAAGCACGTCAAAGTGCAAGTAGATAAATAGGGACCGCTCCGGCGGGAAGGTAAACGGCATTTCCGTGCGCTGCTCTGGTTCGTCAGAAGCGGCTTAGTCATGCTGGCCACATGGCCTGGAAGCTGTACGCCAGCTCCCTCGGCCAATAAAGCGAGATGAGCGCCGCAACCCCAGAGTCGGTCACAACTGGACCTAATGGTCAGGGGTCCCTTTACCTTTACCTTTATTGGTTTGGCTTAGTAGGCAGTCATGACTTGCTGTCTCCACCAAGTCCTCCTAAGAATCCTTTAGCTTGCACAGTGGAAGGGCAAAGTGGATATTTGTCACTTGGCTTCAGAGAGAGGCAGAAGCAAGCAGGGAAAACGTGCATTTCCTCTGCCTTCTCTGAGGCTCCCAGCCCAAAGCAAGAGCCGGAGGACTTCAGGGGAGATAAGATCTGTTCTTATACTTGGCACAGTGAAGAATGCCCTTCCCCAACCAAATTCATTGCAGCTCGTGCCAGAATGCCCCAGTTGTGCCAACGTATTTAGTAATCCTGCAGTTGTTCCATATAATTGCAGTGCGTGCAATATATCATTCTTTGCAGGAAATTAGGTGCTTTGGCATGCAGCATTTCTGGTTCTGTTTGGTATACACAAACAGTCCTGGTTTACTCTGCTTTTACTCTCCTTCCAAGTATGTCTTCAGATTTTAAGTCAATGGATGAGGCGTGTATTACCCTCTCACCCTCTATTGTTTTTTGGGTACAGTGTCTAGCAATTGCAGGTGCTTTATATTTTTTTTGGAAAACTATTATTATTATTATTATTATTATTATTATTTTATTTTCACTTCTTCAGATGATCTACCTGGGTTCAGGCTTGTGCTGTGTCGGTGCTCTGGCTGGCCTCTCCACCCAAGGAACAGCTCGGCTTGGCAATGCTTTGGGCATGATAGGTGTTGCCGGGGGCATGGCAGCTACTCTCGGAGGCCTAAAACCATCCCCTGAGCTGCTGGCGCAGATGTCGGGCGCAATGGCTCTTGGTGGCACCATAGGTGAGTGCAGAGCTAAAACACCCACTGGTTTTAGGAAAAACTCTGAACGCAGGACAGTGTCTCTTTTTGCAGTTGAGCCTACCGTAGGTGATGACATTTTTTCCAGTCAGGTGTCTTCATGCTTTAGAGACGTGGGGAAACTTGTTTTCTTTTTAGCACATAAAGCAGGGTGGAAAACTGTTTTCAGCCCACAGTGGTGAGTAGGGGCCATGGGCAAAAGGTGGGGGGGGGGAGATGTAAATTTTGTGATTATAGTGGTATCTCAGGTTACAGACGCTTCAGGTTACAGGCTCTGCTAACCTAGAAATAGTATCTCAGATTCTGTTCAGGATGAGAACAGAAATGGCATGATGTCAGCAGGAGGCCCCATTAGCTAAAGTGGTACCTCAGGTTAAGAACAGTTTCAGGTTAAGAGCGGACCTCCAGAAAGAATTAAGTTCTTAACCTGAGGTACCACTGTACACATTAGGCAGCGGCTGTTTCTGGTTGTCCAGCAGGGCCCACCACCAGCAGAGGATATGGGGCCTACTAGAACCCCCTCATGCTTTGAGCTGGCCCCAACCTTCACAATACTTTAGGTGTGTTTCTTATATTTCTTTATAGTTCATTTTGAGCATATTACACTAATCCTGGCCTGACTGCACCAGCTGTCAGTTAGTTTTTGGAGCCAGTTCAAAGTGCTGGTTTTGACCTATAAAGCCTTAAATGGCTCAGGGCCACAATACCTCAAGAACCTTCTTTCCCCAAATGAACTGACTTGGACCCTGTGGTCATCATCTGAGGCCCTTCTTCATGTACCTCTTCCACAAGAGGCCCGGAGGGCAGCAACATGGGAACAGGCCTTCTCTGTGGTGGCTCCCCATTTGTGGAATGCACTCCCTAGGGAGGCTTGCCTGGTGCCTTCATTAAATATTTCTTAGACACTAGGGGAAAACATTTCTCTATAACTAGGCCTTTGAAAAGTTGTGTAGTCTTTTAAATGTGCTTGTGGGAGGGGGGGTTATTGATTTGTTTTTACCATTTTATTATGGATTTTGTGTTCTCATTTTGTATTTTTATGTCGTGAACCGTGCAGTGATATTTGGATGAAGGGTGGTAGGCAGATCAAACAAACAACATGCTTTATATGCTCTGTCAAGACAAGCAAGAGCCATCATCAGAATTAAAGGACAGAGTCTATGAAATCATAGAGGTGTTTGAAGTCAGGAGGAGAAAATAATTGGGGGGGGGAAAGCTCCTTAGTTTCTTGGATAATAGGTGCTGACTTTGCGTAGATCAGGTATGATGCCCTCCAGATGTTGTTGGACTACAGCTCCCATCATCCCTGACAATTGGCAACACTGGCTGAGGCTGATGGGACTTGCAGCCCAACATCTGGATGGGACTATGTTGGCTGTTACTGGCCTTCTTGCAGTTGTGTCCAGCACTTCCTATATTATTATTATTTTTAGGCTTGAATTGCAAACCAGAGACTGTACATTTGTGCTAATGCTGAAGAAGCTTTTGTATTGTAGTGCATGCTGTCTCTAGCTTAGATGTTCCTGCATTGAGGGACAGCTTCCTCATTACACACCACAGCATCTGATGATGGTTTACTACTTTTGTCTTGACAGGCCTGACAATTGCCAAACGTATCCAGATTTCGGATTTACCTCAGTTAGTGGCTGCTTTCCACAGCTTGGTTGGCCTGGCTGCTGTCCTCACCTGCATTGCTGAGTACATGATTGAGTATCCTCACTTTGATACTGATGCAGCTGCAAACCTCACCAAGATTGTGGCTTACCTTGGCACATATATTGGAGGTGTAACCTTCAGCGGCTCTCTCGTCGCTTATGGGAAGCTCCAAGGTAAATTTGCTTCTCTTCCTTTCCCTCCCCTTCCTGTCCCTTGGCATATCCTATCCATCTTTGTACACTCTTTGCATACTCTTTGGTATGCATGTGTGCATACCATTCCCCTTTGGTTTGGTTTTGGCTCAGGTGGTAAGCCTGTGTCCTGTATCCATATCAGACCGCAGGTGTAGACTCCAGTTGATCGAATACATTTTCACATATAAGAGATTCACTTGCAGATAGAAAGCTAGCATGTACGGCTGTGATAGAGCCATTCTTCCTGACATCTAGGGCAGGGATGGGGAACCTGCAACCTTCCAGATGTTGTTGGACAATAACTCGCATCATTTCTGACCATTGTTCGTGCTTTCTGGAACAGATAGGAGTTGGCACCTGGCAACATCTTGGGGGGGGGCACAGTTTCCCCAACCCTGTTGTAGAGATTTACCAGCTGCTGAATCCAGCAATTCTTGGTTGACCCACACAGCAGCTTCTGATTCTTTGCTTGAGGTACCTCAGGCGCCTTTCTCATGGGAGCCTGGAATAATAAAATGCTGGGACATAACATCTGAAGTGGAAAGCCTTCTTTATACACAGAGCCTCCCTACACAATACCTTTTCTTGGTGATCTGGGTTTTAAGTTTTGCAGAGAGCTTGTGTGTTTAGGGGATGCACCCTGCTTTAGACATTATGCCCCAACATTGCAATGGAGGGGGTGAGAACAGCCTTAGATTTGGGGGGATGGGTCTAAAAATTGGCACATTCTTGGCCACTTCATGCAATTAACATGAGGGTTATCTGTGGTGTATCTTGTTTTCTGGGAGATGTACAGTGGGCTGTGACTATTACTCCATGTCCCGCCTATGAACTTTCCATGACACATAGCTGTCCATACAGTGGTACCTCGCAAGACGAATGCCTCGCAAGACAAAAAACTCACTAGACGAAAGGGTTTTTTGTTTTTTGAGCTGCTTCGCAAGACGATTTTCCCTATGGGCTTGCTTCGCAAGACGGAAACGTCTTGCAAGTTTGTTTCCTTTTTCTTAACACCGTTAATACAGTTGCGACTTGACTTTGAGGAGCAACTCATGGAACGTGGTGTGGTAGCCTTTTTTGAGGTTTTTAAAGACTTTGGTGATTTTTGAAGCTTTTCCAAAACTTTCCCAACACCGTGCTTCGCAAGACGAAAAAAATCGCAAGACGACGAAACTCGCGGAACGAATTAATTTCGTCTTGCGAGGCACCACTGTACTTGGAAGCAGAATGCCGTACTAGATGGACCATAGGTCTGATCAATCAAAGCAATTCTTTTGCTCATTGTTTGAAGTATATAATTGGAAGATGTTATGGACCAGGTGTGGAGAACCATTGGGCCTCCAGGTGTTGCTGAACTGCAACTCCCATCACTCCTGGCCATTGGCCATGCTTGCTGGGGCTGATGGGAGTTGTAGTTCAGCAATGTTACCCACACCTGTTTCAGGTCTAGTATTTTATCGCTTCTGGAATCCTATTGAAGAAAACAGCATCTATACCAGCTTCCTGTTGATGTTGCCCGTGGAAGATGGGGTTGATATTGGGCCAACAGTTGTGTAGAGCAGATGGAAATAGAAAAGGAACTTGATATTGGGTCTGTGGGCTTCTGCCTCCTCCTAAAGCTGGTGATTTTCTAAAGCTGCCAATTCTAGGAATTGAAAGATCTTCCTTCCTTCCTTATTTACTTACTGCAGGTATCCTGAATTCTGCCCCCCTCCTCTTACCAGGCCGGCACTTACTGAATGCCGGCTTACTCACTGCAAGTGTGGGAGGGATGATTCCCTACATGATCGATCCTAGTTACACAACTGGACTGACCTGTTTAGGGTCAGTGTCTGCTCTATCTGCTGTTATGGTAAGCATGGGATTTGAAGAGGGTGATTTGGAATGCTGTGCTAGTGAAAATGCCAAACTGTAAACTCTGATGCAGGAAAATCACATTTGTTACTAGGCATGCTGAACTCCTACAAAGCTGAAGTAAGGTAGCGGTTATAAGCCAGCTAGTTGTATGGCTATGGAGAACCCTAAAGTTTCCAGACAGAGCAATGCAAAGAAATCAGTGTGGTATCTTTTTATTCCACAGTTTAGCCACCTGTGCTCCTTGACCTAATTTGATGTGAAGGTGGTAGAAATGAAATAGGGAAGGGAAGGAGTGGACCCACTCTGTTTGGGCTTTGACCCCACCCACTGTGATGTGCGACCCCCAGGAGATTACCTCTGAGGGAATGCAGACCTTGACACACACACACACACACACACACACACAAAAAAGGCTGTCCACTTATTCCTTTGTTTTTTTTGGAACAACATTTGTTGGCTTAAAGCATGGGTAGGCAAACTAAGGCCGCGGGGCCGGATCCGGCCCAGTCGCCTTCTAAATCCGGCCCACGGATGGTCTGGGAATCAGCGTGTTTTCACATGAGTAGAATGTGTCCTTTTATTTAAAATGCATCTCTGGGTTATTTGTGGGGCATAGGAATTCGTTCATATTTTTTTCCCAAAATATAGTCCTGCTCCCCACAAGGTCTGAGGGCCAGTGGACCAGCCCCCTGCTGAAAAAGTGTGCTTACCCCGGCTTAAAGATACACAAAGTTCTTGAGTTTGGTCCAGTTCTTTTTGTAAAGTCAGACTTGAAAGTAATAGTAATATACATATATATATATATATATATATATATATATATATATATATATATATAAATATATATAAATATTTCACATGACTAGCAAAGTGAAGTTAATGGACAGTCAGCAAATAATAAGTAGAATTGCATAACAGTCACAAAAACAATGGTTTGATCTTGGCATGGTATTTCAGTGGCCTTGGTGAATAATTTAGATACACTTGAAAAGGAAAGGGCTATGGAGATCATTCAGAATGGTTCTGAGCAGAATTGATACGCCAGACTGCTTTTCATTTATTGGTTTCATTTCCATTCCACAGGGCGTCACTTTAACAGCAGCCATAGGCGGGGCTGACATGCCCGTCGTCATTACTGTACTGAACAGCTATTCTGGCTGGGCACTCTGTGCTGAAGGATTCCTGCTGAACAACAACTTGCTAACAATTGTGGGCGCGCTTATTGGCTCTTCTGGTGCCATCCTGTCTTATATCATGTGTGTGGTAAGGAAAACGTAGACATGTGCTTTCTCCCGTCAACATGCTGAGAAGACTGAATCATTCTTTGTGTGTGTGTGTGTGTTGGGGGGGAGGGAGTTTTGTGTTGTAAGTTCACTCTTTGTGTTTTCATATTGTTCATTCATGCCATCTTCCACCCACCCTGGTTTCTCCCCATGGCTCTTTTTCTTTTGTTGTTGTTTTCCCAATTCAGAGTACTGATTCTGTCTTTTAAATCCTTAAAGCACATTGAACTGGGCTCTGAAATCAGGACTCATGAATGTGGTATTTATACTGATGTAGTATACCATGCATTTGAAGCTGTTCCTTAGTTGCTAGGTATGCAGCCAGCGTGATTTCTCTTTATTTATTTTTGCTTGGCTACCTTTTCGTTACTTAAAATGTTACACATCGATGGCATTATATATGTACTGTTCACAGAAACTCCAAACATAATTCTGTTTCGCTTAGGGAGAGAACTAAAATGACTCTGCTTGCAACCTGCAGGTTTTTTATTTTATTTTAAATAACATTAAGGGTATAACTTGGATGGCCACTGCGTGGCAGCAAATCTGCACGAATGAATCACTAATGCATCTGGAACTTCTTGTAGACATTAAATTGTACTGGTGGCTTATACTGTACAGCAAGACTGTTAGCTCTTTCTCACCCCCCCTCCTGTTTTTTTTTTTTAAAATTAATAGGAGGTTAGCATTGTTTCCAGTTCATCTCCAACTTTCTCATCTTTCCTAGTCCATGATGTTATTTGTCTCCTTCATCTTCCAAGGACCTGAACTTTGTTACCGTCTGTTGCCTTTAGGAAAGACTTACGTTTGATATTGCATAATGGTATCACCTTGAGGCTTGGACAACTCTCGGAAATAAAAACTTGGAGAAAGCCACAGAGGGAGAACAATAATAATAATAATAATAATAATAATAATAATAATAATAATAATAATAATAATTGCTGAAGTTTTTCTTCACAAAACTGTATTTGTTGCATTTGATTTTTAAAAGACAACTTGTTTAAAGCATTCAGGGTTTTTGTTTTCGCCTCCCGTAGGCCATGAATCGCTCTCTTGCTAACGTGATCCTTGGTGGATATGGGACTACTTCGACAGCTGGTGGGAAGCCCATGGAAATAACTGGCACGCATACAGAAGTGAATGTGGACAGCGCCGTTGACATGATAAAGGAAGCCAATAACATCATCATCACTCCTGGTAAAACTGAAGCTGCTGCTCATGACTACTGCTTTTGTAGCCTGTGCCATGAGAACCAGATTCTGTGTGATGAACAGTATCCGTAAATTAAGAACATTTGCTCTGCTACGGTAATACAAATTGTGGAAGACAATGGCCAAGCCAATACTGTTACCAACCTAACTTCATATCCACACCTAGTGCCTAGTGCCTTATTAAAACGAAATAACAATAACAATAATAAATATAATTTATTATTTATACCCTGCCTATCTGGCTGGGTTTCCCCAGCCACTTGGGGCAGCTTCCAACAGATTATTAAAAACATGATAAAATACCAATCCTTTAAAACTTCCCTAAACAGGGCTGCCTTCAGATGTCTTCTAAAAGTCAGATAGTTGCATTTCCATGAATAAATAATGTTAAGTGTTTGGCTTCTCTCCCTATCATTCCTTGTATTACTTGCCAGATTTGGGCAATACCCACACCATACATTTCAAGTACATGGCTTCCCTCAAAGAACCCAGGGAACTGTAGTTTGTCAAAAGTGATGGGAATCTTAGCTTGGGTGGGGGGGTGTCATAAATTATACTTCCCAGTTAGCAGGAGTATCCATTGTTATTGGGGCCGATCATTTCATTATCGCCTGTACTAAAACAAAAACCCTAACCATCACATAACAGAAGTTTCTCTAGTTGAAGATTGAATACGTAGGAAAGTAAACACAACCAGCATGGTTAATTTAGTTTGTGTGTTTCTCTCCCTGTCCATCAGTTAACCTGGCAAACATGAGGCATTGGTAAAGCACTTCACAGCATCTGGGCTTTTCTTCTTCTCCACAGGTTATGGTCTCTGTGCAGCAAAGGCTCAATATCCAATTGCTGACTTAGTGAAAATGCTGAAGGAACAAGGCAAGCATGTTAGGTGAGTATTTTTTGGCTGGGAAGGGAAATAATGCACAGAGGATAGGTGGTTTTATTGTTTTGAAAACCACAAAGAGGTATTGATGATTAAGCAGCCTCATTGAGACAATTGTATTTCCAGCTGAAGAACCCTTGCCGTTCTGCATGCAGTTCCTTAACTTCTTCCTCACAGAAGCCAGGAAACGAGGCAATATTCAGTTAACCATTGTTTCCTGTTAATATTGAAACCAGGGAACTGTGGTCAGTGGCTTCCTGACAAGTAAAGGCATGAAGCCTAATTTACACCATGGTTTCATACTCTGTTCATAGTTTGTTGAAGACTCCCTGGCTTGTTTCCCATTCATGCAGGGTAGCATCAAAGCAGCTGCACTTGGGGCCATGAGACTTGTTCATATTTTGGCTTATTAAGCCAAGATGTAACCATACAAATGTAGCTACTGTGTTAGGGGAACATCTCTCTCCTTCAGTATCTTATCTATACATAACACACACACACGAGCTTTTTTAGTGGTAGCATCTGCTTTGAGGTTTTGTTTTGTTGTTTACAAACAAGTGGCATGGAAATTTTATGAAATAAATATATCCTAGAACCCACTCTTTCGAAGTAAGTCAAGAGTTTAAAGAAAATCAGTTAAGGCTATTCTCTTCTACCCAATGTTTGTTTATAATATGAACATGTGCATCCTATGTTGTAAATTGGGATTTTAAGCCCAATTTGAGGTGCTGGTATTCACCTGTAGAACCAGCTCATTGTTTTCTGGGGGTACTCAGGGGGTACGCAGTACCGACCGCTCCCCAAGCACTGGTTAAAAGTGTGGCACTTAACTGTAACAACTTCATGGTGAGTACCGGCACATTTTTTCTAGAAGCAAAGCACTGTGTAGAACCAGATACAACTTGGGACCAATTTATCTAACTTCACCATTCAGCCTTGCAGCTCCTTGTATGCCTGCCCCCTAGTGAGATAAAATATATAGGCAGATGTGAGAGGAACTTTCTGGTGGTAGCTCCCCAACTATGGAACTTTCTCTAGGGTAGGATGCAAATTTCTCCTTCTCTGCTGGCCTTTCTCATCTATGCTAGATGGTTTTCTCACAAATGATTATGTGGCCCTAGGGAGTTTTAAATTGGCGTATTTGAAGTCTAAGGCTTAGCTGGCTTGATCTTGGTTTGATTAGGTCTTTTATTAATAAAGTTGGTTCTGTGGTTCTTAATTTCTGGAACAACACGATGGTTTATGCAATCCTCTGCTTGTTTGTGGTGTGTGTATTAATAGCGCATGGAAGCTGCCTTCCATAGATAATCATTCAGAATGGGGGGCATTATGGCATTATTGTTGACCACTTTTTCATTTGGGTGAACGTGGGTTGATGCTTAAAATGCCAGAACTGCTTGTGCTGCCCATTGAATTCCTTTGAAACAGGGAGCTGCTGTTGGATCATCCAACAATTAATACAAAATGGGTTTTGCCACTTCCAGAGAAGTGTAAATGTTGCCATCATTTAGGGATAATTCTGACATTTCATTGATCATGTAGGGAATCATTCCTCCCACACTTGCAGTGAGTAAGCCAGCATTCAGAAAGTGCCGGCCTGGTAAGAGGAGGGGGGCAGAATTCAGGATACCTGCAGTAAGTAAATAAGCAAGAAAGGAAGATCTAGAATTGGCAGCTTTAGAAAATCAGCAGCTTTAGGAGGAGGCAGAAGCCCACAGACCCAATATCAAGTTCCTTTTCTATTTCCAGGTGTAGCATGACCATGCTTGCTACTGTGTTCTAAGCCACAATCACTTCTTTATAACACCAGGAGTGTGGCCCACCAACTTTTAACAAAACAGAGTGCTTGCTATTCTCTCTCTCTCCTCCACCCATCTTTTCTTTCCCTTTGGCTCCTGTGTGAGCTAGTGTTTCAGTCCCCCCCCCCATTTCCTTTCTTTTTTGAAACTCAGTGACACAAAGCACTAAAGACTTTCCTTTCTGCGTCAGCTCTGTACAGAATAAATGTGAATGGAGTAGATGCTAGAGCCCATTTTGGCAAGCGTTTGCCACAGCAGTTACCTGAAGGGATTTATATGAAAGAAGTCTGTATTTACTGTTTGCGGCATGTTGGGTCTTTCATCACGTTCTGGTGCACCCATGGCGTTCATTGAGTGCAGCTGCTTGCCCCGCGCTTCCTGCCAGCCCCACAGAGCCTCAGGACAGCGCCGCGTCCCAGATGCGGTGGCATTGCCTGCACATCTGTGACAAATAAATGCCAGCACAGTCATGCGATGGTCATCAATGTATAATACCTGTGCTGCGCCAAAAAAAAAAATTGCATCTGTCATCCCGATGGCACGCCTGATGTCTGTAATTCAGAGACGCTGTGATTTTGGTGAGCCTTGTGCGTAGCCATAACATGTTCCAGAAAAGAAAAAAAAAACCCTCAGAGATTGTGTAACATGTAATGTTAATACTGAGACTTGCGACTCAGAAGCGTAGGAGAGATTTTGGGAGGGAAACAGCATTTCCTAACATCACCATTTGACATAAGGTTTTCCTTTGCAGCCGGGTTGCATCTTTAACGTATTACTAAAACCAGGCAAAAAAAATATGTGCCTGTAACATAAGTTCCTGCTGTTTTCTCCCTGTCTGTATCTTACTGCGTAATACAGTAAGTATCTTGGTGATGGATGTGCTGTGTTTCTCAAGGAAGCGTTTCCAAAGACATTTTCCCCTGCCTTGGGTTGATTTTTGCCGGAAGCCTAATGGCTAAATAACTTGCAGGGAAAAACAGGAGCAGGCTCTTTCGATATGCACTGGGTTCAAAGTGAGGTGGTAGCAAACCTCTGCCTGCGCTGTTCTTTTATTTTGAGATGGTTGTTGCACTAGATGCTGGTATTAATTGAACGATGAAAGCAGAGCAGCAAGCAGCGGTCATCCACCAAGGTTGTGATCTTAAGAGCACAGTTGCTTGCAACCAAGTCCCATTGAAGTCACGGAAGTTTTTAACAAAGCAAAAGTGGAATTGGAATTGAAGCATCAGAAAATTACCCTTTAGTTGAGGAGGCATCATTTCCAGCCTCGCTTTCCCAGAAGGGGAAGCAAATGGTATGTGACAAATAGAGAGCAGGCACACTGATTCCCAGCATCATCAGTCAAGGCAGCAACAAGCAAACACCGACTACCCACTACAGCCCTTGAAGATGTCCCAGAAACTCCAGCGGGTGCAGAATGCAGCAGCAAGGCTCCTCACAGGGTCTCTGCCATGGGAGCATATTCACCCAGTGCTTTTCCAGCTGCACTGGCTCCCGGTGGAGTACGGGGTCAAATTTAAGGTGCTGGTTTTGAACCTTTAAAGCCCTTCACGGTCTAGGACCCTCGTACCTATGGGATCGCCTCTCCTGGTATGCCCCACGGAGAGCCTCAAGGTTCATAAACAGCAACACCCTAGAGGTCCCAGGCCCTAAGGAAGTTAGATTAGCTTCAACCAGAGCCAGGGCCTTTTCAACTCTGGCTCCGGCCTGGTGGAACGCTCTGCCTCATGAGACCAGGGCCCTGCAGGATCTGATTTCTTTCCGCAGGGCCTGTAAGACAGAGTTTTGGCCTTTGGCTTGGAGCCAATTTGATTCCCTCCCCCTCTTTCTTTTTCCTTTTTCCTTTCTCCTCCTGTGATGAGGCTGCATTTTAATATTTTAATGTTTTAATTGTTGTCTTTTAATCTTGTTTTTAAGTTGCATTCATTCAACTTGTTTTTATTATTGCTTGTTAGCCACCCTGAGCCCGGCCTTGGCTGGGGAGGGCGGGGTATAAAAAAATTATTATTATTATTATTATTATTATTATTATTATTATTATTACTTCTATTGTCACCCATGAGCTAGGGAAAAGAATCACATTGAACAAGGATGGGAAGGGGGTCATAGCATGTCTCCAACAACAGAAAAGGGGGTTTTCAAGTCTATTTGTGAGTTCTTAGAGGTGAACTGCTGAAGGCATTGTACTGTGAATCCCAAGTAGGGAGAGCACTGTTGTGGTCATGTCCCATTTGCAGGCTTCACACAGGCATCTGTTTGGCCACAGTGAGAACATGATGCTGGACTAGATGAGCTTTTGACCCCATTCAGCAGGACTCTTCTGATGTATTATGGCTACTGGGGTAAACAAGTTGCCCAACTAGATTGGCTTTTTGACCTAATTCAACAGGGCAGCTCTGGCATTTTTACAAAGGAAAGTGTGCTCTGCATCTGCTCCAAGTTGCAGTTACAGATGGGTAGCCGTGTTGGTCTGCCATAGTCAAAACAAAAAAAATTCCTTCCAGTAGCACCTTAAAGACCAACTAAGTTAGTTCTTGGTATGAGCTTTCGTGTGCATGCACACTTCTTCAGATACACTGAAACAGAAGTTGCCAGATCCTTCTATATAGTGAGAAGGTGGGGAAGGGTATTACTCAGAGGGGGGTGGGAATGGGTGATTGGCAGATAGCTGTGATGAGTCTGTTGACGACCCTTAACGACTGCAGTAGGTCTTACAGGAAAAAGCAAGGGGTGAGAAGGTGAAAAATGGCTTTGTCATGTATAGTGAGATAAGAATCCAATGTCTCTGTTCAGGCCAGGTGTCTCCATGGTTTTAAGTTTGGTAATGATTTGCAATTCAGCAGCTTCTCTTTCCAGTCTATTTCTGAAATTCCTTTGTAGTAAAACAGCTACTTTGAGATCTTGTATAGAATGTCCTGGGAGATTGAAGTGTTCTCCTACTGGTTTCTCTGTCTTGTGATTCTTGATGTCAGATTTATGTCCGTTTATTCTTTGGCGTAAGGTTTGGCCTGTTTGTCCAATATAGAGAGCTGAAGGACACTGTTGGCATTTGATGGCATACACAATGTTAGACGATGAGCAATTAAATAGTCCCGAGATGGTATGTGTGATGTTGTTGGGGCCAGTAATGGTGTTGTCCGGGTGTATGTGGCAGCAAAGTTGGCATCTGGGTTTATTGCAGGCTCTGGTGCCAGTGTCCGTGTTAAG